ATGGTTGTAACCACTGGGGTATTTGTTGAGGGGTACTTGTGTATAATTTTGATACTTGCAATAAAATTCTTCTTCAAAAGTTGACGTTATTAGAAATTATTAGAAATTGATTATCAAACTGGAGAGTATGGCAAGTGCGTAAGCATGTATAAGTACTGCAGATATGCACAGAGAGGATCTTCATAGGAAATTTCACAGATAGGGCCTGCGCTTCACACTGCAATGCTACCTCTGCTACAAACCAAAAGTGTCACACATTCTTTGATGGTAAACTAATGTTTCCTTAACACACATACTCGCAGGTGCATCAAGGAGCATTTCAGGACTGTGGCACCAAGGCCAATCTCAGCCTGTTCATACAGATTGCTATGTGCCTGTCAAACATCACCTGCTGTCTGGACGCCATGTGCTACTACTTTATTGCCCATGAAGTGAGGAACACCAGACACAGCTTAAGGATGTCAATACTGAGCCAAAGGAGAGCCACCAACAGCACTTCTGAACGGGAGAGAGGCGAGTCAAGTTGAGACAAAAACTGTCCCTAGAGGATCACTGATGTGATGTTATGTTGTGTTAATATAGCAAAACGAGGCTAAAACCTTGTTTTGTATCAGAGCAGTAAAGCTGGAGACAAGTCAATAGTGGACCCAGTAGTTGATAAGCATAGTGTCACGCACTAAAAGTAATTAACCTGCCCGTATGGAAGCAGGTCAAAGTGTAATCTAAATTAACCACACAGCTGAATGCAAGGCTGTATGATCTGATCCAGCAGCAGGAAGCCAGTAGGCACATCTTTAACCTCAAAGCGCTCTAATGCGTTAAATGAAGGCTGCAAAACAACCCATGAACTAAAAAGCCACAGTCTGACATGCTTTAAAAAATCATTAAAAGCATGAAAAGGTCAATCAAACCTGCAAACCAACAATGAGTGAGAAAGTGACAGGGACAGGCAGCATGACTCATTTTAAAGAACTAAAAACTGATACTGGCGGGTAGTTCAAAAACGCCTTTGTGATATTATCTAGGACTGAAATCAAACATGCACAAAGAGGGCTCTTATTAGTCAGAATTCTCATCAAAGACAAAATAGATTAATTGTTTCAGAATAAACAAATTTAACAGATGCATAATTATTATTTTTTTATATTCAAAAAAGTTAACTAACTGTAATAATAAGCATATTTTAGTAGTGAATCTCTAATCTATGAAATACAGATTTACATAAAAAGTAAACAAAACAAATTTATGCTAATATAGCGAATTAATTACGATTCAAATATGCATATTTCCTTGACGAGTACACAGATGAATCAGGGTTTATAAATCAAATCCACAGGTATAACTTTAAACATATGAAACTAAAAACGAAACATTAGCAATAATTTCAGTGGTTCATTTCATTTTTTAAAACATTAAATAATACAATGGATCCTAAATGGTTGTAAAAAATTCTCACTGCAAAATAAGTAACATATCATCTATATTTATTAAATAATAATTAAATGCAAATGTTTAATCAGAAATACAGCAACAGTCAAATATAGAAATAAACACGGCCTGAGGAAGAATAGAGGATTTTTTTGTACGTTGTTAATAGATTTTACATTCATTTTCTGTCTTTTAAATCTCATAAATTATACTAAAAAAATATAATATAAAAAAAAATATTAAAAAGTGACATTATTATAAGAGAGGACTAAAGCATTTATGATTATTGCATTAAGTGATCTGTTTATAGTTTTGCAGATGAAAGCTGACTTCGTATGCTTTTTTTGCTTTGTTTATAAACTGATATTGTTAGCTGTAGCATTTCATATTTAGCTGTACTGAACTTTGTATTTTATTTTTAGATTGCAACATTAGGTGCATAATAGTTTTATTGAAATGTTTAAAAACCGTAAGTATGTAGTCCCGGCCATGCGTAGGTCACTGCTGAAAGAACTGTTTTCATATTACTGTTTGGGTTTATGTGAATGCTGTCACAAGAAAAGTCAAATGGAAAGCTGCTTATGAAGCACACAGAGCTGTCGCTGACCATATATTGCCGATGTTGAACGGTCACTTTGTGGCGACAGCGGAGAGTGTTTTATGACAGCGTGCCTCACTGGTGGCTTAACTGTACCATAATGTTGTATTTAATGTATATATCTTTCATAAAAATGTGTGAAAAGCTCTCTGTGAAACCATCATATGCTGGTTTCATTGCATTACCTGCATATTGAAACTATATTTTATTATAATTTAAGTTTCTGCATTTTGTACTCAGTTTTATTTTTACTTGTAAAATACTTTTGTGATCCCTGCATCTTGAGCCAACCCACAGAGTTTGTCGGTCTGGGCTTTTTTCCTTTTCTTCTTAAGTTTAAAGTCAAAATAAAGAGAATGTGAAGACAAAAACAAAAAGGATTTATGACTGAATATTATGAATATTTATCCTAAATATTTAATTAATGAAATGCAGCCGGAAACTAAACTTTTACCTAAATATTGCATTTTTGTAACTATAGTAACTGCTGAATATTTAAAAATGTACAGTATTAAATGAGACATTGTAAAGTAGGCTGATCAAATCACAAACGTCTTACTCATCAGTTTTGAAGGGAAATAACCTGAACAGATTATGATGTTTAATTGATAACAAAGCTGCAGATGAAAACTTTCAGATATTATCACTGTATTTTTCTTCCATTTCAGTGAGAATGCCACAAAGGCAGTGTAATGCTGTGTTGTTTCTCCTACTTTTATCAGTACTGTTCAGCCAATCTCCAATTGATCGAACCCACAGCCTACACAGTGATTCTGAGCCACCGAAACTGTTGGTGAAGAACATTCAAAACATGACCAAGAAAGTTTGATAATTTATTGTCAAAGCAGCAAGATTTTACAAGAAAAAGTGACTGTACAGCGAAATACAGTACCCAAGACAGTGAAATATGATAACAGATCACAGATCTCTCTCTCTCAACAAAATCAGATTTACTCCAACTTATACATCAGAAAGACAGCCCAAAATCTTTTCCTTTTTTAAGCTGGGACGAAACATCAGAACACATTATAATGCCAAGATAGGAAAGATTGGGAAATGGCAAGAGCTGAAGACAACAGGCAAATCTGAGTGAAGAGGAGGAAGAGCAAGACAACGTGAGTTTTTAGCCTTTGATATCATCTACAGTAAGTGATCTAGACTATAAAGCGTTCTTTATAAATAATTCATATGTCCTTAAAACCAAGCTTGTAGCATCCCTGACTGCAGACTTTGGTTCCTTCTGTCCTTCTACAGCACTGCTACTAATTACAGTCTAAAGCCATTTATATCCAAGGAGTAGGAAAGTGTGAGAAGAACAAAACTAAAAGGCAAACAAGAAAGAAATGATCATCCACAAAACAAGTTGATCTCAGATAAAAATCTATGCATGTAACAATATGAAATTAAGAAGAAAATCAATGTACAGTATATATTGCTTAGGAACAATCAAAGTTATATACACCACTCATTATGATATCAACCAGCAAAGTAATATCTTAACTACATGAGGTATGTTTCGCCATCTTCCGACATTCAAAACAACAACAAAAAAAGTAACTAAAAATAACTTAATCGAAAAAATACGAGGACAAGTATAAAAATGAAATGAAATCAAGTCCATTGATGTAAATGTCACGAACTTACATGCACAGGTTAACACGTTCTGCACGACATGACAAGCTACAGATATATCTAAACAAATCTATAACATTATCCAGGAATCCGTTTAAATTAAAAAGACATTAACATAGTACACGGACGTTTCAAAAAAATAAAAGCATAAACAAAAACATTCCAACTGGATCTGAAACTAAAACTACAAGACAAACGCTTGCTCTTAAAGTGCAGTTTAACGCTTAAGGAATTCAAGAGGTATGGTTTAAATTGGCTTCAGTGTTGGATGGCTGTGATTTCCACCTCAGATTTAGAACCGGTCGCAGATCACAGTCTCGACCACAAAAGTGTTCTCAAAGTGGCGGATGCTGTGACAATTCTTGGTCTCACGCCTCTCAATACCTGGAAGAGAAAAACACGACGCATTTAGAAAATCTGTTCAGAATCGAAAGCGGACATTTGTTCACATGCTTTCTCGAGCTACTCTGCCTACAACGTCCATTTTGAATCAGCAGAAGCCATCCCCACAAATCACGTCCATATATGTACGCAGGGGGAAGTTTGTTGCATCATTTCTGAAGCTCTAAACCCAATCAAAGGCAGCGACGACACAGATATCACTCATCCGAATCACAAACACCTCCACAGAGTGTGTGGATGTGTCCACTGCACTACAAGTGACTCACATAGCAGGAAGTTCCCAGGCTGAGCCCACACAAACACAAACACAAACACACACACACACAATAATACTCAGGCTCACAAGCTGGTACAGCAGCATGTTACACTGCACTGTCTCAAGTGTTCGAAGGAAGACCCTATATGGTCCTCGTTGATATTTGCTTTTCTGTCACTCTCTCTTTACTCCTACACACCAACTCTGGACACTGGATTCCCTGTGACTCAGTGGAGGAACATCTTCCTCCTCAGGTACAGAGTTTACAGCAAACCAGCACACGTCACTTGACTCAACATCTGACAAGAGCTGGTGTGAAAAAGAGGGTGACGAAAAGCGGAAGCAGTCCTGCACATGTCACTACATTATTTAAAATTTCATATAGCCCGAACAGACTGGAAAAGGAAGTGAATGTGTCAACTCACGTTGGCGCTGGCTGCGGCGTCTGAGGCGGTAAGTTTCTCTGCCGTAACAGAGCCTGTGAATGAAAGGGCCCAGCTGCCTCATGTTCCTCACCCTCCCCGTCACCATCATCTCCTCCTGGATGATGTACGTCTGAGGAAGGTACGTCCCTCTCTGTGGCAAAGAGACAAAAATGAATCACTCGACTGATCGGTCTGTGGGAGGAACGCTGCCAACAGGAAAGTGGGAACACACTGTCCTTCACTCTCAGACAGCCATTTAACTCTTACAACCACAAGTGGCATTAACAGCTAATCCACTGCGTGTCTCACCTTGACATTGACGAGCAGCTCCCACAGGTTGCGTGGTGGCATCACTAAGGTTGTGTTCAGCTCGGTGATGTAGCATTTGTCCAGTGCGATGTCGTGATAAGCTGTAAGGCCCTGGAACAGAGAAAGAGAGAAATCGTGTTATGCCTTAATCCAACGCTTACAAACAAGTGTAATGAGAGGAAAAAACACGCGAAGACAAACACCTACCCTCTGAAAGTCGTGGATGATATCGGCAGGATCGCTGCCACCAAAACGTGGCACGGGTACGCTGATCTGCTCGTAGTTGTCTTCAAGGTAGATGCCGACGTTTTCCTCGAGTTCTTGCCGCCCCCTCAGAGGAGCATACACAGAGTCCTCAAAGATAACCCGACAATGGAACAAACTGTCTTCTGGGATCTGCTAATGGGATGCAACAGAACTGTGTCAGCATGTGACGCTTACTTTCAGCTGTGTGATTTTTACCCACTGTGTTCAGGATGTTATTTAAGAAAAGAGGGGTAATTGCTGACTAACCTGAGGTATATAGTAGTGGCGATAGATAAAGACAGACGCCAACACCAGTCCTATCAAGAAAACTGCCAGGCCCAAGGCAAGGCAGCACAGGCCAGTTGGAAAAGGCTTCTTTGGCCTGACTGGGTGAACCGACTGCCCCTGTAAAAAGAAAAAGCAGACTGATTAGAGTTCAGATCTTAGATCTTATCCTACATCCTGGTTCTTTTCATAGTAGTGTGTGAAAGTTTTTAAGAGTAGTTTAAATGATGCACTGCAACTCTGAATTTGCTTTGTGCAGTGTGAAATATTTGTATCTAATCCTATCACACTCACACTGCTTTACTTTCATACCCAAAAGCCAAATTTGTAACAGAGTTAATTTTGAAAAGAAGCAAGTGCCAAGTTGAGATCTGGTAGACGTACGACGGACATGAATAAAGCACGCCAGATGCCCACCCACAGTCTCTCAGTCAATCTGCTGCCTCTCCCTACTACTGTTGCTATGGTGAGCGGAAGCATGCTCTGACGAAGATGCTGGCACGTGGCCGTCTGGGTCTATTCTTAGAGGCCTACTTCCACGCTCCATATTTGCAGATATTAAGTCTTAACTCCCTTGGTGGGAGTTAAAAATGAGGACAGTTGCGTAGAACAGGAGTCCCTCAGAGGCGGGCGTATTAATAGATCTACACACATTGGCTCTGACGCCTAGCCTGCCATAGCAGCCAATGAAAATCCACACAGCCTTTCACATCCTTCTGTTGACGTAACGAGCATTGGTAAAATATGTGTGCAGAAGTGATAGGTGCGTCATCTGTGCAGTGTGCTAGGGGGAAAAAAAGACGAGAAGCTTTATGTGAACATCCATTATGTGCCAAATATCTAATTATGTTCAACTCTGGGGATGAAGTCCAGAAAAGAGGCTAAGAAAAGCTGGTGACAGATCTGACTTCCCACTCAGCTAATGCAGGTACAAGCCGTTCTGCAAAGCCCACTTTACACAAGCAAGGACAAAAAAAATCAGTGTTTGAGAAACTACATCTATGTAGTTAAATTACATGTTTGAGAAATGGAGACTGAAAGTGTTGCAGAACTGAAATTGAGACAGAACTAAACTCCTCAATTTTTTTGAAATAAACTCTGAATTTTCCAAGTTTTATCTCCTCTAATATATTCATCGAAAGCAGGAGCTATAAAACAGCTAGGTCAAACCGACACTGACTTTTTATACTGCTAGTTTTGGGAGGGTTAAGCTGCCTTTACACACACACACTTTGCTGCTAGATTACTACCACTCATTCTCATCTGCTCTCCGGCACTATCTGCAGGACACACGTGGTATAACACCGTGACATTACAGACTGGTGCAGTATCCACATCTGACAGCTCTATTGTTTCCTCACAGCGACAAAAGAATAAACAAACCCAAGGCTATCTGTACGCTGACAGCGAGAAGCCTGAGATTTTTATCTTATGCATGCACACTTTATGAACAACTTGGTAAAATTATGTCCTCTTTCTGCCAATTGCACACATGTATACAGGACTGCCTCTTCTGCAGTGTGCCTCTTAGCTGTGGCTAAACAAGGTGATGTAATACCAACATCCCATAGGTGGGATTGCATTGCAATGCTGGGGCTGTTCCCTTGTTGTAATATTAATGCACAACAAAACTTTTTTAGGCTCAGAAACACTACCACTGCCTTTATTAACCTTTAAGCTTGTAGATAAGGGTGTACTTATATTTTTTAAGAAAACAAATGCAATATATCACTTTAAGCAGTTACTGGCTTTTCTTTATAATCATGTTAATCACATAAAATCCAATCCCATTAAATGCCATGATGCATGGACAAAGAAAGCAAAACTAATTATATCAAACTTTATTTTTTTAAGCTATAGCCTATGCAGGAGTAAACATCTACTTATGCTATAACGAGACAAAAGACAAATGCCGCAGCATGAAACAAAGACAAAGTGTGCAAACTCACGTGAGCCTGAGGTATAATGATCTTGTCCTCATCGTTGTCTTTTTCGGGCTTCTGCGCCGACACTGGCTGGAAAGTGATCTTCACCATGTTTGTTTGCTCAGTGTGTGCTTGCTTTGTCTCCTGTCTGATTCAGTGCGCTGGTTTCGTCCACCGGACCGGGAAGATTATATAGCGCCGGACCAGGCTCGCCCCCGGGCCTCGGTGACCTCACAAGAGCGTCTTCTCTGACGAACAAGCAGTGTGTGGGTCTCAGGGAAAAGCCGCCTCGCCGCTGTCAAAATAAAAGCCGCTATCGGACTTCGACTTTTAGAAAAACGCTAAAAATAACAGACTGTGAGCTTAGTTGCTTCCTGGTGAATATAATTAAATATTTAAAGCGGCTTGATTGGAAAAATGCTAAATTTACCTCGATTTTGGGGATATTTGGCTACCACGTGCCCTTATTTTGAAGACAAGCGCCCAATATGGAAGTGCTTTCCGTATTTTATTTAAAGCTGAATCTTCTATTCTCAATGTTCTCAACACTATCATCCGGAAATATTGTGATGTTTCAAACTGGCTGATCCAGCTACTACACTGCAATAAAGTTATCAATAGGTCAGCACTACTTAGTAGTAAGAGAGATAATGCTGCTCAGATGTCCATGGGCTCATCAATGCATATATAATATTTTACAAGGTGATTGTGTATGACTTGGTTAATATGCCATATAATCTAATTTAGCCTTTAGTATAATATAAAACTGAATGTGGTAACAAAATGTACTTTTTAAGACAGATTAAGAATCTATATTATGCATAAAACAAGCCTGATGTCATTAATACAATTCTAATATACATAGTAACATTAAATTATTCATTTCATTCTAGTGAACATCACAAGAAATATGCTAATCAGTAATATATGCACATTTTTTACAGCCATGGTGTACACACAGCTCTCATCTCCTTGCCTCAGTAATCATTACAGTATCTATGACTCACTACAGACATAAGACTTGCAGCAACAAATTAGACAATATAGGAAATTTGAGCTGATAGTTAGTGATAGAAGCGTGTCCTGAAAGGGTTACAACCCACACCACAGCAAAGTGAAGTCCTAATGCAATAGGGATGATCTACTCTCCACAGTGTCATCACTGTTTTCTGGTCTTGATCACTTTTAATGAGGTTCCAGGCGCTTTACACATAAGAGTGGTCCATATTCTCTGGGACCCATCTAGTACTATAGATGGGGTGATGCCTCACAAGCTCCAAACAACATGAATGTGTGGACTGGCAAACATACGGTCTATAGCCCTAGGGGCTGTGGCTCAAGTGGCAGAGATCAGTGGATCAATCCCAGGATTCTCCAGTCCACATGTCTAACACATACTTGGACATACTGAACCCCAAATTGATGCTGATCTGAATGTGTGTAAATGTTAGAAAAAGCACATACAGAAAAGCATAGTATGGATGTGTATACATGAGACTGAGTAAATGAGACTTGTAGTAGAAAGCACTATGAGTGCTCAATTTGAGTAAAAAGGTGGCTTTGAGGCGATTGTTATGATTTAGCACTATATAAATAAGTGTTTACTTCTTCCCACTCCCTTTCAACATGTAAATTAATCATAATGGTAGCTATATTGAAATGTATTGATTTTTTTGTATAGTACTTTTTTCTCTTTTATTTTCGTTTCTAAATGTACCTGTATATTGTTTACATGTTTAAAATAAATGACCAATCAATCAATCAATAAATAAAACTGAATTTAATATAAGTAAAATGTTTACCAAAATTGATTGAATGTGGTCAAAAGCTAAACCTCCGGTTATGTTTTGCTTTTCCAAAATAAAACTATTTTCTTTCACCCACTACAAACTAAAACCTTCAGAGTTGTTGACATTACCTTTGCAGCCTCTTTGTCCATATTTTGCACTCTTATGTCTGCATGCTGCTCCATGGTTAAGACATCGTTGTGACACAATTTAAAGTGACCACATGTGTTGGGGGGGGGTCGTTGCTCGTTCACCAATTCACATGCAAATGAACCCACACATAGACTGCACACAGTGCATTCCCCACCCCACCCAGTTTCCTCCTCTCTGTGCTCACTGCTGCTGGGATCGCCCCGGCCATCTGTCCCACTGACGGCCTCTAACGGCTCTTTGGATTACACACCAACTAACCAACCTCCAGTCTGGTCGGCTCCTGGCAGCGCCTGGGTTAAACTGCAAAAACATGGCCCCCATCAGCAGCAGCACACACGGCCTGGACAGAGTGGATGACTGCGGTGGGGTCAGACCTGACAGAAAGGTAAGATCCCATGTGAGGATTCAGAGGCAGTATTCATACTTTTAGTCAACTTTGAACTGGGAAAAAAACAACTCAGTTTTCCTTACTGTTGTAGATAAGAAAACCTCTGGTTGAGAAGAAAAGAAGGGCTCGCATCAATGAAAGTTTACAAGAACTCAGAGTCCTTATCGCCGACGAAGACGTAAGTTGCTGTTGTTTATGTAGCGCCATTGCGCAACAGCAACTAATGCAACTAGTGTGTTGTGGCTAAGCTAGCTTGTGTTCCTGATGTTTGTTGCTGCAGTTACAGTCAAAGATGGAGAATGCCGAAGTGCTGGAGATGACAGTGAAACGAGTGGAAGGCACTCTTCAAAGGCGTGTTCAGGGTAAACCGTACATATGAACCTTATTTAACTTTATTTACTTGAGTGTACAGTATTAACCATAAGCTTAATTTTTTTTTTTTAAAAAGAGACATATAAACAGCAATACAATTTACAAATCATTCTTCCGCCAAGTAATATAGTTCTTTATAACTGGTAAAACTACTGATTAATTCATTGCTCTTGGCGGATTAATATTTTAATCAACTGTACTGTGGCCGCCACAGGTGCGCTTCGACCGTGGCGCAGCCAATCAGAGCACAGAGTGTCTGTTAGTAATTGCACGTTAGAAACTAAGGTTTAACGGTCGTTTCCATCTGTCTGTCTGCAGACGCTGTACACCGGGAGGCCTGTGAGCGTTTCGCTGCCGGATACATCCAGTGTATGCACGACGTTCACACATTTGTGTCCAACTACCCGGGGATTGACCCAACAGTGGCAGCGGAGCTGTTGAAGCACCTTCTGGAGAGTATGCCACTTAACAACAACGAGTACCACCGAGTGATGCTCCCGGATATCGTAGCGGACAGCCCCCCTTGCTATAGCAGCACTTGGTCCCTGTCTGAGAGCATTCACACAGCCCTGGTGTCCCCGGCACCCTCCACCACCTCCGGCGACGACCTCTGCTCTGACCTGGATGAGACCGACTCCGAGCAAAGCCAGGTTTCTTCTGAGGAGGAGGCAGACGGTCAAGAAGCGTTGCCCTGCCTAATTTGCTCTAAAGCTCTGTGGAGACCATGGTAGACAATTTAAGGTGGAATAGGAGTTTGTTTGGGGGTTTTTTTTGTCGAAACAATAGCTTGGGTTAGAAATAGGCCAACACTGCCTGAATGGGCATCAGATAAACTCTTCGTAAAGATATCTTAATATATCTTTACAGAGCTTAGTGACCTTATTTGGGCCTGCTGACTTATGTAAATATGTACTTGTTCAATATAACTGCTGTATAGAAAGTAGACCCCCACCAGAAATGCACTGATATGAGTGTGTGTAAATTATTTCCTAATTAGGATCTGTTGAAAATTCTATTTATACATGTCAGTTGACTGCTAGTAGGCTACCTCATCTAAGTTAAGCTAAAACTTTTTAATAAATATTTTAGGGGAAAAAAAAGACTTGTACTCCATTTGTGCAGCAGACTCTTCAGGAGAAAAAAAGCCTCATTTCACACACAAGAATCCCACTAACCACCCACCCACGGCTGTTTCCAAGATATTTGTTATTACTCTGCAATTGTGGACCATTTGTGTGCACAGGCTCTCCAAGATCCCTTAGCACTTCGTAGGCATTTGTGAGGTGTGAAATGAGTAATCCACTCACTCCCTCCTTATATAGTCCTGGTTGAGAACTTGACAAATGGAATTTATAACTCTGCTCGACTCGTTTTTTAAATAACGTGGGCACATAACCTGCACAGTCATGACTCTGGAATAAGTTTGGCTTTGTATTGCGCTGTGATATCGAACAAACAGTCATCTTTTTTCTTTCTTTCTTTCTTTTTGCAAGTTTGGAGTGGTGCACAAGCCTGTGGAAGTGAACATAATTTTAGGCCTGTGAAATATAAGCATGTCATTTCGTAGCAGTGGGTTAGGTTGCTGCTGACTTTCACAGCTTGCTTGATGTCAGACATCACTTCTGTGGACTCAGTGAGAGCCACAGTGTTCTGCATCTGCACCACCTAGCTCCTACTGCTAGGCATGAATAAGAAAAGCCAGCAATCCTAAAACAAGTCTATTCATATGCCACGTGGAGTGTGAGTCACGTCTTTACACCCCACCCCCGACTTAATAGGGGACACTGGTGAAACGAGAAGAAAAAGACTAATACACTGTGCATTGAATAGTGGAGCAATTCTATTTAGCATATAGAGTAGTAATTATACATCGAGGTAATGCAATCAGGTAAGATTTCAATCTGCTTTTATTGTTCTTTCTAATCCCCCTTGCTAGAAATAAGATCGACACACTGTTATAATAAATATCAAACGGTGTGACCATACGATAAAGTTAGGCCTATATTTTAAACTTTAAGCATTGGTATTTTTGTAGTAGTTTATTAATGTAAAAAGGAGATATTTCGTTTTAAACCCAGCTGTGACCACTTAAATTAATAACAAGCTTTCTCGAGTGCAAGAAAGCACAAGTAAATTATCATAATTCAAATTATAAACTACTAAATGACGACCCATACATCCTTGTTTTGGTCCTATTATTTGCTAAACTTGATGTAGTCCGTTGTGTTGTGACAAGACCGTATTAAAATATCACCGAAGGTAGGGGGGGGTTCTTTCTTTTTCTTTTTTTTTAAGCACGTTCGCACCTCGCGCTCAGTTTGAAGTAAGTATGAAGGTGTGAACAAGGGTCGCTTTGATCACGAGGATCTGCGCAGAAGTCTGTTGTTTCGGTGGTCGGACAGACAGACATTTGCATTGCGAACGTAAAAGTGACGAAGTAAAAGTGAATATGTATAAGACAGGCGGCAGCAGGGGCGTTCCCAGGATTTTTAAATGGCGTGGCACAAGGGGGAACCCATAATAAGGCAAAGAGGGGAGGGCACAGGTAGTCAGATTATTTAATCAGAGTTAAAAATCAGTGTAGGAATATGGTTACAGATTTATTATGTTAAAAGTGAATTTATGCAACCTTAAACATATTTGTGTGTGTGGGGGGGGGGGGGGATCTAAAAGTTGTGATCCGACTTAAGTAGCTTAACAGTGAAGATATAGTATAACAAAAATATAGTTAACTAAATGTGTTCATTGTGTGGAATGACACTTTGCAGAATTATATTAAAGCCTTACTTGTTTTGCAGATAAATCATATGAAGTACAAGACAAAACATTTGTATCCAAAATAAAACTACTTTATTCAAGTAAATATATCAGGTTACTTTGCTATCCATATATTCATCCAGGGATTTGGGGCAGAATTGTAATTAAACTGCATTTAGGGCTCTGCAGACACTGTTGAGAAATACTGCTAAGTTTAAGATATCGGAACATTCGTTTTTGTTTTTTTTTCAGTCTGCAGAAATCATTCCGTCTCTTCCTTATTTGTCGTTGTTGGACTGGCAAAGAAGGTGCACGACACACTTTGCTTTAAGTTATGCAACATTTTATTTTGAGAAAAGTTAGCAAACATATCGGAATCATTTCCTTTAAAAAATAAGAAAAACAAAAATAAAAATGTGTATGTCAGTGTCTGTTTTAAGACCACCCCCCCCAAAAAAGAGACCAAACAAAGAGACTCAAAACAACAGCATGGGCTTCAAAGTGAAAAAACTCTTCAGCCACCTGACGTCCGAGCTGCTTTATAACAGTGAAACCTAAAGTCAGCCTGAAGTGTTTGTTCTGAACAGTAACGAGCTTCAGTCTGTTCAGGATGTTCCTCTCCTTGTTTATGATTGCAACATCAGACCACGTCGAGCGTCATGCAGCACACTTCAAAACTGGGGAAAACCACAATAATCTCTTTACAATAACCACCCACCCTAAACATGCAGCTCGGTACTTTTCAGTTTGTGATGAGCGGCTTTCCTAGTGTTGATTATGCAATTCACATTTTCAAAATAGAGCTTATAATAAATAATATTAATTCTTTTGGTCCAGTTTGCTTTTTAAACTTTTTTTTTTAAATACCATAACTTAAAAACACATTGACTCATTTATAGAGAAACAGTTATCAGTTATTTTATGTAAAAATATAGCCTATACATATGCCTAGAGTCAGAGTGTTGCAAACACCAACACAAGCTTTGAAATACGTTAAAGTTTTTTTTTTTTTTTTTTTTAAGTGAGTGTCACAGCTGAAAAACAAAAATGCTGCATTTCACCAGAAACAGGTGAAAGGAAATCTGCTGAATGAAAAAAAAATATCTAGAGCTGCTTTTAGTAATGTGTCACCAAATGACAAGTGTACAAATTTTGAAATGAGATTTTTTTAAAAGTATGACATTATGTGAATCAGTGTAGCATATGTGCCTCACACCCTCACCCCCAACTCAGTGCAAGCTTAAATCAACTCCATCACTTGATCAGCAATGCTTGTACAACATTGGACATCTTTTCCCTCTATGTTTAACAGCTGAGATCCCCCAATTGACTACAGGCATCAGCAGAATGAATATCAGACCCACAGGAGTCTCATTTATGTTCTTTATCCAACACACAAAGTGCACTTGTGCTCATTTGGTGTCTGATGTGTATGAATGACAGAAGTGCCGTTGCAACTCGGGAAACGCCACGAAATACTGAATTCATCAAACACCACAGAGCCACCAAGAGCAGCCCCCAGCTGACTGATGTTTGTTTGACCTCTGTGGTGGTGCCTGGCGTGCGGGCACACTTTCTCTTTCCCTTTATTGGGCTCAGCATCTGGTAATCAAGTCTATATAAAAACCATTAAGAGCCACACATGGCAACATGCTACAAAAGGGATGACGCAACAAACAGGTGCAGTCTTAGAGACCAGCAATTCCTCAAGCAACAACATAGTGAACAATTAAAAAGTAGATTAAAATATAATGTAATTAATCTACTACACATGTTCACATTCTACAAAAATCTGGACTGTTTTATCCAGTTTTCTTGCTGGCACCTACACAGGAATAACTCACAGAACAGCAAGAGAGAAACAGTAAGAGCACATTTAAAACTGGTCCCTCTTCAAAGGCTGCAAGCCAGTGGCTAACAAAGTCACTCTGGACACTTTGAGAAGCTTATTGTGCCGCCGTCTGTGTTTGAGAGTCGGAGGCCGAAGGAGAGCCGTGGCAGGATATTTCGGCGGTCTCAGATTCATCGAGGTCTTGGTACGGCTGATCCTGTACCGCCGTCGCTGCCTCTAAGGCGTCATCACAGCAGGAGCACATCTGGAAAAACATGTTCAGGTGTAAATGAGGCATTATGTTTACATTAACAGTGGATATCTGAACTGGAAGGGGTATTCAATTCTACCTTGATATCTATGGCTTTGGGTAAACCTCCCTTCTTGATCCAGGGGTGAACCTCGATCAGCTCCTTCTTCTGCTCTTCAGAGAAGCGCGGTTGGCTCTTCTGCAGCAGCCTCAGTTTCTCTTTGTCTTCTCTCAGCACCTTTTCAATATCACTGCAGACACAATGAAACGCACAGACACGGTCACGATTCAGCTCACACGTGTGACAAATGCTCAGATAAACAACACTGGAAGCTTTGATTTGCATGCTTATGTTGCACTTTTGGATAATTTATTACTTTTATGTTCAAACAAAGTTTCGCTGTCAGGCTCCTCACACCCAACACAGCAGATCTCTTTTGTTGTGAGGATTCCATCTAGTGGTCAAAAGTCTTACTACAACCATCAGGGTTGGAGCTTCTGTGTCATGATTACAGATTGCAGTTTCTCTTTTCCTCCACATTTACAAACACTGAACACAAAAAGTTTCCGTGCTCCCTCTTACACAGAGATGATGCAACACAACAGGAAGATGAACATTTGCTACCACAGTTAAGGGAGTGTGTGGTAGATGCATAAAGAGTCTGAGTATATCAAGTGATGCTGCCTGAAAAGGGTGCTTCTTTCTCTAGAAGATGTGGTAGTCAGTCAGCATCCCAGTAGAAGCCTTGTAAACTAGCACTAATCTAATCCTATTAGAATAAGGATGCCAGAATTTATATTGAATATTTTCTGGGCAGTGGGCCTTTTTTGTAATTTAACACATTTATTTATTTGTGCTGACAGATTTCTTGCATTTAAATGGTAAATGGCCTGTATTTGTATAGCGCTTTACTTAGTCCCTAAGGACCCGCTTTACACTACATTCAGTCATTCACACACACATTCACACACTGGTGATGGCAAGCTACACTGTAGCCACAGCTGCCCTGGGGCGCACTGAGGCGAGGCTGCCGGACACTGGCGCCACCGGGCCACCAGGGCCCTCTGACCATCACCAGACAGCATCATCATACAACAGCATCATTTCTTCATGTGCAGTCTTACTGTTGAAATTGCACTTCTTTTTATATTAAATGGGATTAAATGTGTAGTTAAACATCTATTCAGCCAGTGGTTCACCTGAGATCAAAGCTAGCTAGTGATGAATGTAAAGCAGTTTCACAGGGTGGGTTAAAACTGCGCATACGCTTTCCAATGGTGGGGACTCGGTTAAACAGTCTTTTAGCAAGCTGTTGCCTTCAGGCATCCCACACCAAGTTTACTGCACACGCACACAGCCTTATCACTAGTGCATTACTGAGGAACCTTCCATTACAAACAGATGGTGAATAACTACCGCACCACAGTGTCTACAGGGCCACTTATCCTACTCCTCACTGGCTGAGCCCCATTCTCCCACTCACCGCGAGGCCAGCTGATAGGTCATCATGACCTTCTCATCTGTGTTAGCCATGAGCAGCCACAGCGGGTCCTGCAGTACATACTTTGTGATATGGTCGCTCTGCTCCATTCTGCCGTGTCTTCCATCTCTGCCGCTCATATGACCTTTGACCTTCTGGCTGTGCACCGATGAGTCCACACTGCCAAAGTATTTGCTACTGTTGGTGCTTTCTGAGAAGAGCCAAAGAGCAGAGTATTGTTAGAGGCCAAGTAAGTTGATGATCATATGACAAATTATGTAGTTTTAAAAGCTTTCCATGTTGAAAATCGCTTGCTCTGTTAAAAAAAAAAAAAAGAACTTGGACAAAAACTTCAAATCTGTATAGCAATCACAAGTTAAAACACGTGGTTGTAACTGTAAGACTACCTGAGACTCCGCTGGCTGACGTCCTGCCCTCAGACGTCCCGCTATTCGAAGTGCCGCTGGCTGAAGTTCTGTAGCCCATGGACCCTGAGGTGGCTGAGCCGGTGCCCGAAAAGGAGTCCTCTTGGAGGATAATGTTCAGCATGTCACTGGATGAAGAGTTGGCATCACTGTTGTTAGCGTCACATTGCGAGCTTGTCTGCAAAAACAAATATTGAAAGAACACCACATCAGAGGAGCAGGATTCAGGTCCTCACACTGAAGCATTCATTACACTCGCAGACGCCGTTTCTCTTGCCGTTTTGCATCCTGCCTCAGATTTTAAAGACTCACCTGGGAGCATTTTCTGCTTAATCATAAAAACGGTCATTCTCAGCAAACACTCCTTGGTTCACAAGGATCCAAGGAGACCAGTGTAGTTGATTTAAATTAGATACATGATCCTGATCCTTTTCCAGCTAATTTAAAGTGAGGGAAGCCAATAATTCATGAATGCAATATGTATATTATAATTAGAAAAGCATTTGCAAAATACAGAAGATGGCTGCAAACCACTTTTCCTTTCTTCATTATATCATCTCGGTACGATACAAGCAACAATACCCCCCTCCACATGTTTAATTGTGAATCAGGTTCCCACAGCTGTGGAAGTCCTTCATGCTAAAATCAGTGTATGTGCAATGGAAAAAATACGAAGGTGAACCATTTAGAAGTAGCTGCATCAGTTTAAGTGTGGTCTGATCTTCATCAAAGTAACAACTATGAAAAATGCATTTTTTTTTTAAAGGACTAACACACAAATTAGTGTATCGTCTTCAGTAATATGAAGCACATAGTTCAAACACCCACAGTATAGTAGACCCATGGGCTACAAGCTTTAAAAACCCCACTGGAGATATCCAATCCAGTAAGTCAAATCACACTGTTGGCATGTGTGAAGAGAGAACTTGACCTCTGCATTGAATCACACTTGTTATTAACCTCTGTCTCTCTTCCACAGCATGTCTTTTATCCTGTCTTCCTTCTCTCACCCCAACCGGTTGCAGCAGATGCCCGCCCCTGCCTGTGCCTGGTCCTGCGGAGGTTTCTTCCTGTTAAAAGGGAGTTTTTCCTTCCCACTGTCGCCAAAGAGCTTGCTCACAGGGCGTCATATGATTGTTGGGTTTTTCTCTGTATGTATTATTGTAAGGTCCACTTTACAATATAAAGCGCCTTGAGGCGACTGTTGTTGTGATTTGGCGCTGTGTAAATAAAATTGAATTGACTTATTTAAAAAGGTGAGAGATGAAGGATGGAATCTGCAGCAGGACGCCAGAGGAAGCTGATCTTACCGTGTGCCTCAACTTGTCAATATGACACTCTATAATGCTTTTTTTGAACTGAGGAAAGATGGGTTGAATTGTTTGGGGAGAACATACACGCTATGTGCACTGTACGGTAGAAAAAAGATCATGATTTGAGTTTTTCTGGGCCTGGAAATAAACCCACTGCAGAATAACTACAAATAGAGAAAAATCTGTCCAGTATCCAGTCAAACCCCAGAGACACAGTTAAATGAACTCAAGAGAGCGCTTCACTTCAGACATCTTGTGAATCTGGCTGAGCTGAGGAAGAGAAGTCCAAAATTTGGCAGAAAAATATGCTCTTCAACCCACAGCTACCAAAAACATTTGAAGTTTCTTCTACCAGAGCATTTCTGACCAGTTAAACATAATATTTTGGGTTATTTTCCTTCTAGCACAACAAATACTTAATGGCTGTGTTGATTGAAAAACAGAGAAAACTTAAATTGTGCGTGTTTTGGTGTTTGTAATGGTCAGTTAAATAAAGATCAGTTCTCATTTTATAACCAATTATTAAAACTGGATTATTCCAAAGGTGCACATACAGAATACTATCCTGCAATTAACTTCCTCAAGAGGGCACGTGCCTCCAGGTTTTATTATGCTTCTTAGGCGGTTTTCATTGTCATGCTTCAGCTAAAAATCAGTGTCTACTGAACAAGCAATAATAATACTCATAAGTCATGAAAAGGAAAACAGTAACTGTAACAGTTGACATGGAATCGGGAAGAAATGGGATTTGAAAAGTGCGGAGGTTTTACGATGATTCGCCTACCTCGTTGCTGAAAGCACTCAGCCTAGAGCACACTTTATCCCAAGACAAACGCTCACAGAAACAGGCTGTACCCCCGAAATACAACGGTCCTGGAGGACCAAGGAGACTGAGAGATGGCTAAAGGGTGTAAGGAATAATAACATGATTAACACACCCTGGGCCACATTTAATCGGAGGAGTTTTTACAATAGCAAAACAGGAGTTATTTAGTGGAAATAATTTTGGATAAAATCACTGTCATAACGCCATTAAAGCCCACAAACTGAGATGCATATATAGCGAACTTTATGGGGGAACATGCCACAGCCTATAAAGGGAGCCCACAACGTTAAAATTCATTAACACTGTGGGATGCTGAATTCAGACAGATTAAGAAGGATCCAGGTGGAAAAAAAAAAAACAGGACAAAGGGAAGTTGTATTTCCTTGTTTACCTGATTCAGTTCCCTCTCCTTAGGCTGGCTGGCACTTGCTTTTTGCTCCCTCTCAGCTGCAGTATTTCCTCGTCCTCCAGAGGGGAGCATCGCACCGTCCTGCCTGTCGACGTTCAGTTCCAGCTCCAGCAGGTTAAGGGGTGAGCTGCAGCGTGACTGGAATAAGCGAGGGGAGGCCTGGCCTTCAGCTCCTCCAGACTGTGGCGTTGAGGACCGAGACTGTCCTTCAACGGAAGGCTTAGGGATTTCCGAGGATGGTGGGAAGCAGAATGATGGAGTTGAGCTGCCTGCTGCTTGAGGAGGAGTAAAATTGGTCTGAATGTTGAACTGAGTCTGACCGCTGAAGGAAGGTGGGAATGGAAAGGCAGCCTGAGCAAAAGGCAATGGTTGGGTGGGGAAGACCCCAGTCTCTGCTTGGTACACTGGCTGCTGTGGTGGAGGACCGGGGCCCATTACAGGGTACAGGTAGTTAGGGAGTACTAGAGCCACAATGGGGGTGACCATGGGGGAGGTGTAGGGAGCAGAATGGATGGATGAGGGGCCAGGAGTGGCTTGAGCACCCTGGCTGTCCCTAAAGTTTTGTGTAGTGGTATCTGTCCGTGGAGCTATGGACTCAGCTCTGGGGTAAACCTGGAGAGGGTAGCCTGGCATCACGGTAGGGTAGGCCATGGGAAAAGCAGTCTGCGTTGCCTCAGAGGGAGACCAAGATGTCTGGTTAAGGCTGTAGTTTGGAAAAGAAGGCCGCTGCAGCTGTGGTCCTTGATGGGACACTGTGCTGTCGGAGGACTCGACCTGTTTAGCACGCTTTGATTTGGTCTTCTTATTCCGCGTGCTTCTCCGTGTGGTTGGCTCTGCAAACGCTCCACCCTGTTTGGGTCGAACAGCAGGTGCAACTAGACGATCAAGAAAATGAAAAAAAATATTTTATTTAAAGTTTTCATGAAAATTTGCACTGAAACAAATATACTGTGCAGTCATAGCTAGTGGAAATATAACAGATTAAGGTTGAAACAGGGAGCCAGTCAGTAAACTGTAGAGAATATTCCTGATAATATTTTTTTGTCACTTACTTTTTTTTCTTCAAAATAAAACTCCTCTAGCTTTGGGATTAATTTCAAAGTTACTTTGTGTCTGTTACTCTATTTCTAGTCTTTTTTAAAGCCATGTAACCATCTCCGAAGATTTTTAATCAACGAAATGAGTCATAAATTATAAATAGAGATTGAACAGGTTATAAATAGACATGGACGTAAATTGCAGTGAGCCAGAATTATCCTTCCTGTGTCAGTATGGGGTTGGTGTTTAGTTGTACCATCGCTGCCGATCTGTTCTTTCTGACGCTCCAGGTACTCGGAGCAGTTTGCTTCGAGGGGGGAGAGTCTACGAAGCTCTCTGAAGTGACACAGAAAGGCCTGCTCCTCCTTCTGCGTATGTGCTGCCAAAACCTGCTTGGTCAACCCCAGCTTCTTGTAGCACTCTCTCTCCTGACTGGGAGGTGAAAATGCACACGGAGGAGCCGCAAGGTTCTGGCTGGATTCGGCCACTTCCCCTGCGCCCGGTACGTCCTCTATGATCTCTGCATGAATGACAGCAAGAGAATAACTTTAATAAGCTGTAAAGCAACAGAAGGTGGGGTTTTTAATGCAAAACAACATTTTATTATTAAAAGCGACAAAGAGAAAAGCAACATAGAGAAAACAATGCAGTAGCCTACACTGGAACATATAATGACACACTGAAAGAAAGGCTCACACAAATTGGGAACCACGTTCAAAGCCAACAGTCTGTAAAGCAACTGCACAGTTAAGACATCGCAGTGAAGTACAACAGTTACAGCCAATGAATATAGAGAAATTGGGCTGAGGTATTAAGATGAAGCGATGCACAATCAGTGAGAGTTTTGCTGCATTTTTGCATAAATAGCTCAGTTCATTTTCAGTCGATTCACTCAGTACAGCACATAGTATGGGGTGCGATATCCTATACTACACGTGTTGTACCTCAGTCCTCTCCTTCAGAGAACAGAAGCTATAGACATAACTGTTGGTTTTGTTATTCTGAACTAAAGGTGGATTATTATGTTACATGTTTGAACTGCAGAGTAGCTTTGCATGGTTTCAGGTTTAAAATAATCCTTATTTAATTCATACAGGGCTTTGGTGCAGACAATCGAGCCATTTTAGCTTTTTGCCTTTTAAACCAGTTTTTCCTACTGACTGGCTCTGTCTAAACTCTCTGTAACTGAGTATATTTATGGCAGTCTAGTGTGTTAAACTGCCATAGTGTGTGTGCATGTGTTTTTGCCCCCCCCCCCATCATAAACCTTTGCAGTTATTTCAAATAGGACACAAACACACTTCATACATACTGGAACTTGAACTGAAAATTTGCCATTGTTTTTTCTTCCTGTATTGAAGGTTTTGCTGATAAACTACAGCATCACAAACACACAGACACACATAAATCAGCACGTACACATACAGGCTGCATTTACAGTGCAGTGAGAAGCCATTTTCCTCTGATTTCTTCTATTATTGAATATTTTTCCACACTGAGACATTTCAGATCTCCAAGAGGCAGAAAAGGATTTTTTGCATACATGAAGTAAAAAACACTAAAATATCCACAGTAATAGGTTTAAAAAAACAACAACAATCTGTTGCATCCGTTACAGTCGCCAATATCACTCCAAATCAGTGATTTTTTAGTACTCTGTAGTGCTCTTTAAACAGAAATAAGCTGAAGAGTGTGCGATTCACATCGAACAACATTTTTTTGTCTTAATAATCAGATACCTGTAGAGTTCCAGTATATTAAATATGCAACAATAGAGGGAATCTGGTTGGAGGTCAGTACTTTTTCACGTCACTGTACCTGACTCGGGTTGAGGTTTCTTGTCCCCAACATGCACTATGGTGCTACTGTAGCTACACTGGCTGGTTATGGACACCACACTTTCTGGTTTGTTTGGTACAGGTAGGGGCCGCGAAGTGCCCACTACCGCTGTGGCTGCGTCAGTGGACTTTTTATCTTGATCATCCAAAGCAGAGAGACCAGACTGATCCTTCAACAAGGATGATTCTGCCAAAGAGAACAGAGAACAGGAACTACTGACAAGGAAGTGGTATTGTAGAAGAGTCTGATAGAGAAGTTTAAAGGGAAGAGTCTGAAAGCCTTAGAAGGCTGTAACTTTGCATGATAAATAAAAAGGTAAGAGGTTTGTGTTATTCTTATTTTAGATGATCTGAAGTAGTGCCACATACCATTAGACACCTGCATGCTGCTGGATCCCTTCTGTTTGTCCTCATCAGAGTTTGAGGACGTGGTGTTAGAGAGAGACTGGCATTTCCTTTTCATGGTGATGGGAACATTACAGCTCTCCAAGTACCTACAGGGATTTTTCAATCACAAAATTAGTATTTATGCTTATAATACCCGATTGTAAAAGTCAAAGACAATCAAGAACTTTAGGAACTCTGTAAAGGTTGAATTTTATAGTAACAATTCTTTCCAATTCCTCCCTGGTAAAACATTGATTGGGGTCAGTAACAGAGAAATATGATACAGAGAACTTGCTGAACTTTCTTTGTATCCATTACGTATTACAGGAACATATAAAGTCCCTCTACATGGGATGAGCAATGCTAATGGCTGGGATTTTCTTCTAATGAGTCATCTCTGTACCTGATAACACTGTCCAGGCAGCTGATCTGCTGGTAGGAGTATACAGTCTGATCATTGAAGGCCAGGTCCTCCTGGAAAGAGGCTCTGCTCTCCTCCATAGCTGATCCCGCCTCCTTCCAGTTAACAGGAGCAGCCGAGTCTTTGGGTCGCACCACGGCTTGGCTCTTCTTCTGTACAGACTCTGCAGCAGACAAATTAGGCATTAGTGTCTAAGATTAATATGAAATCACCTCATGGTATCAGCGACTGAACAATTTGCAAAAAATTAGCTCTGCAATTAGCAAATATGCAGATAATTATTCACTGGACTTACTGCCATTGCTTTTTTTGTTGTCTGGCTTTGCCGTCTGCTGCTCTTCTCTCTTCTGAAGATGAATTCCCTTGCAGATTTCTTGAAAAGTTCGCTGGTAATAGACAAACAAGAGTCAATCATTTACAATCTGCTCAGATTTTTCATTCAAAATAATAATACAAGAATATTAAGACTAAATTCATATTAATCTTGGCTAAATTTGTTTCATAATCCTGAGGCAAAAGTGCTGTTGCCATCTTAACCAATTCTAGCATGACCACATGGGTAAGGATTCACTGCAGTGAGCTGTAACAGTGACCTAATTCCCTTCCTTAGTCACTTCTTCACCATATAATCAAGTGAATAATTTACTTAGTGGTTAGCAGCAACTTGAGGTTGAAGATTCTGAATAGTTTCACTGCCAACTGTTGAATAATCAGACGTCCATAAAGAGAAAGTGAGTATGACTCACTACTCAGTGCGCTTTAGACTACAAGCCACATTTACCTCGTCACACATACAGTGCTTTTTTTCTATACAACTCGAGAGCTTCATATCCCTTACATGCAAGGTAAGACTTGCCAGTGAACCTAACATGCATGTATTTGGACTGTGTTTGATCTGCGACATGCATGCACACGTGCTTTGTTTTCAAGGCTGCTGAACTCAAACTCGGATGCTAAACTAAAATGTCAAACAGTAAATGCAGTGCATGCAGCGTTTAAGAAATAATGCATGTTTGTGGGTTTACTCACAGGTCTGGCTTTGCCCCTCATGTCCTCTTCCTCTTGATGCATCTTGCTGTACGACAGGCTCTCGTTAGAGGAGCCTATGTCAAGAAAGTGGTCGTTGCTGTGCAGACTACCATAGCCACTGGACCCACTGTTATGAACAGGCTGGTTACAAAAAAAACAAGACAAAAGAAAAAGATTAAACAGGAACAAATGAAGAGATTATTTCCAGGGACAGAGAGGACATTGCACCTGCAATAACAGTAACTGTTAATCTCCTTCTGTGATGGCATCAGCCACACAGGGGTAAATTAGTCCATTTTTTACTTTATTAGTTTGCTTTGCAGTTTTCTTCATTAATCATTTGGTTAAACCTAACACTGGTATTATGAGGCGCACACATAGTAACATTGTGTGGTTTTTCTAAAATGTTATGTTATATTAATTATGTTTCTCTTTCTTTGAGTTACCTGGGTTTGGGCAGTGGCTGTTTCCTGTCTGGGCAAAAGGGTGGCTGAGGACTCTGGGAACAAAATGCCTGCTCAGCAGGACCAACCATGAGCTTACCAGGAGCAGGGGTGTTTTAGGTTTAGTTAGGCTATTCTGTGCTTAGTTAATATTAGTGTGTTTTTTGTTTCCCCCCCTATTGTGTTCAAATGGTTTGGCCAAATCATTATAAAAGCTACCCTCATGTGTTTGTAATTAGGTCAGTTTGTGAGTTAAGTTGTGTCTCACTTTGTTTTGTTTAAGTTTCTGGAAATTACTTTTCGTAGAGTTATATTTAGTTGACCTCTTTTATGGGCCTGCTAAGTATGTTTTTGAATTTTGTTAATTTTGAACTTTTTGAGGGTTAAAATAAAGAAAACCCTTTTTGAGGACACTTTTTTGCCTGTGTCCTCTTTGCTTTGGCTGCTTGGTCCCTCACACCTTCCCTCGATCAATCCTTAGTCTGTGTAGGGTCTTGAAATGTTGCTCTTTCTTCCACCTTCCAACTGAATTTTTTTCCTTTCAGCTTATAAAATTTATATTAGTTTTGTTTTTTTCCCCTCACCTGTAGCAGGAGCCGATGGATCTGCTCAGTAATCTCCTGGACGTCAGAGTCCATGGTCTTCACCTCTCTGATGCCTGAGACTGGGCCCATAAAAATGTCTTCATTCACGGGGCCCCTGGTAAACAAGCACATTTTATGTGAAGCGCCTTTGTCATCCAATTAAGAACTTGTTTCTATAATGTCACATATGCCGTGGTCAAATATTAATCTACTATTGATTTAAATGTATGTATCAACTTGTTTAGGTAATAAATACTTACATGCGGACTTTGTGTCTCCCAATAACAAAGGAGACCTTGCGGCTCCAAGGATTGACAAAACTGGACCAGCTGGTGTCTAAGATGATGTACTCTCCATTTCTTGCACAGAACCTGATGGACGAGTGGTCAAACGGTTGGCCTGCGCACTGGAGGACTGCAGAGGAAAAACAAACAGATTGAGACAGGCGCTGATTTCCCCTGCTTACACTGGATGTTGATGTTTCTTCTGTCAATTTTGTGTGGGCTCACTCTTTCTGTGAATAGCCAGCATGATCGGGCGGTCACTGGGATGCAGGTGGCAGAGGACTGGGGTGCCAATCAGGTCCTGTGGGAGGTACCCAAGAAGAGGTACTGCCCTGAAACAAAGTGCAGTGTTAGCAGCCAACAGCACCAAATGTTTGCACCTTTTTCAGAGATCATTTAGTTTAAATTCAGCAGTAAAAGCATTCTTGGCTTACCTCTCATCCACATCCTGGAACACACAGTTTGGAGAGTGAGTGGTGGTGAAGATCCGCTTGTCTGTTGGAATTCTGGGTGCTTAAGGATAAAAAAAAATACAGGTTCAGTTCACTTTAATTTATAAAGCACCAAAACACAACGACAGTCTTCTTAACACACTTTTTAAAATTGTATGATGAAGACCTTACGATGTCAGAGAGAAAACCCCAACAATCTTCAAGAAAAGGGGAAGTTTTAAGTCTAATTTTAAAATTAGAGAGGGTGTTAGTCTTCTAAACACTGGCTGGGAGTCAGTTCCACAGGACAGCAGTCTGAAAGCTGAAGGCTCAGCCTCCCATTCTACCTTCAGAAACTGTAGGAACCACAAGTAAGCCTGCAGTTTGATAGCAAAGTGCTCCATTAGGATATTATTGTACTAATAGGGCTTTTAAGATATGACTCTGTCTGATATCTCAAGACCTTTTATAGGAGGAGAATAAATTTAAATTCAGCTCTGAATTTAATAGGTAGCCGGTGAAGAGAAGCCAAATTAGGAGAAACATAATCTTGCCTTCTAGCGCCTGTTTGTCAATATTCTTACCATCATAGCCAGAGTGGACCCTCTCAGCCAGAAGGAGGCAGCAGAACTGGTCTTCAGTGTGCACTGTGTCCTGGACCTTCATCAGGTAAGGCGTCATGCGGAATGGATAGTACTGCAGGTCACCCTCACACTCCTTACCACCGCTGGATATTAGGCAGAAGAGGTAAAGTGAGCCAAACAAAGATGAGACTGGCCTACATGAGTCAAGTATGCACAAATACCCTCTAGTCCAGCGGTCCCCAAGCCCCGGGCCTCGGACCGGTACCGGTCCGTGAGTCGTTTGGTACCGGGCCGCGAGAGTTGAGGCTCAGGTGTGAAATGTATGGTTTTCAGGGTTATTTTGTTATCGTTTTTATCGTTAACTTGGTTTTCCTGGGTCTTTTCACGTGTGTTATGAATAAATCTTCTTTTTTCGGTACCGGTACTAGTTTTATTTTGTTATATTTATCCGCGACACCTTAAAGGCCGGTCCGTGAAAATATTGTCGGGCATAAACCGGTCCGTGGCCCAAAAAAGGTTGGGGACCGCTGTTGTAGTCTAATCGCTTTTGGATTTTAGAATCTGAACACATGGGGGCGCTCTGTGGTCATTTTCCACCCATCTCTCTATACAGTAAATAGGAGTGAATGTTTGTGTGCACAACTTTAAATAGCTGTTCTGTTTAAGGTTTTAGACCTCTGATGTGACCCCATAAATCAGACCAATACTCAAATATACAGTTAAATAAAAGAATTCTTTAAAATAAAAGATTTAAAGAATGCTATAGAAGTCTGTGGGACATCCTAACAAATGCTAAGTGTGTTGTTAATATGTAAATGGTCTTTAACGCTGGCCTGGAAAAAGCAGCTGTTTACAGGTTTTTATGCATATGATGTCACAAACTCATTGAAAAAGCATCTAGCCTGGAATGAAAGTATGAATATGAACTAAGAGCAGGTACGAGCAGCAGATGGCCCGACACTGCATTTGACCCAGCACCCACCCACCTGATACGACAGAAAAAGGACTTCTCCTGTATGCAGTCAGGCGGGGACGACTCTGAAATGGGAAGAGAAACGTTTTAATTCAAAAGCAACACGATCCGGCCAAATGGTGGTGAGAGTCTGGTCTCCTGTAGGTGTCCAACGGTTGATTAATTCCATCAATAAACATCATTTGGAAGCCCAGCCCTGCACTTACTTTAAATGAATTTAAACATACATGGTACACCGGCCAAAATAATTCCAGGCCTAATTGGGAGAAAGAGTAAATGATTTATGGAGTATATTTAGTCTTATTGAGCTCATCTGGGATTTAAATGCAGGACCTCTAAAAGGGTCTTTGTGTGTAAACAAGATTTAAGGCACCACACTGACTGGTGAAGCTGGCCATTATCAGTTACACAGAGTCTCTCTGGGAAAATTAAATGAAGGGTATTCATTATCCGATTTCAAACTGTGTCTTGGACATTTGCACGTTTTGTTCTTTTGTGGACTTTTAAAAGCTTCCCCATTTGGCAACCCATTATAATTTCCAGATTATGCTTTAACGACTGAGACAGCTCGATCTGTTCCATATAGCTGAGTGAAAAGGGGTAAACATCAGCGGTTTTAAATGGATAACTTGAATCCGGTGAACATAAACTGAATAATGTACCTCTAAGCCTCTTCATTATAGACTCTCAGATGTTTTTCCATTTCTGTGAAGTCTTTATATAGTTCTGGTACTTGTAATGGATGGTCTGACATCATCCTTGTATTACTTGTCTGTATTTAACTTAAACGCTCAAAAGCTAAGCCCTCTTGGATAAACCCATATTTGTACTTATTTGGCTTTTCTTTTCCTATACTGTAACTGTTCTTGAAAATATTGTATTGGAAATCTGTCCTTATATTAAAGTAGAAATCCCTTCTGGTGGTCCATAAGAACAATTACTTCAGAGATCTGTGTCGTCACCATACCTGCTCCAGTGCACATGCTCCAGGAGGGCAGGCGATAAGGCGTCGTGAAGCTGTAAAAGACGCTGACATCCTGCGGTGTAAGAAACTCCACAAACTTGGTGTTTCTGAACACATCTCTTTTACAGTTGAGGATGGAGGCAGCCTGGTCAGAAATGTAGACTATCCTTCCAGTGATAAGAGACACAGCAACTGCAAACATATCCTGTTGAAGACATGAAATTGTGGTTTGAGGAAAAAAATAATAATTACAAGACTTTTTCTTTGCATCTTTGTTATTGTTTAAGAGCACAAAACAGTTTTAAACGCTACTTCAAGATCTTACATTGTTTTTGAGAGTGTACTCAGAGGTGATGCTATCGATCTCCTCTATTGTGTATGAAGACACATCCAGGCCTGGAGGCTGACTGTCATTGATCATCAGGAGCTGGTAATACTCCTCATTGGCTGAAAGAAGAAATATACACAGAACATTTTTGTCAGAATATGCTCAAAATATAAGCACAGAGTAGATGAAAACTAGCAAAACTAACAAAATAGTATCAACATAAGACTACCAAGACAGAGCTGTAATAGTCTGCAATCCTAAATCTCAGTGCTATGCTGAAATGCGTCACAAGTAAACATCTGCCCACCCATTAACATCTGCAAGCATTTCAGCAGGAATGAGGTGAGCATTTACAGATCATTACCTGGAAACTGCCTACATAAACATTCCCTCCTGCTCAAAGTTATGCCTTTATTTCTTTTTGGCTTTGGCTTTGAGCAAATTCTGTAAATTGCACAGAATGTTAAGTGTTTCAATAAAAAAAGTAGCTACTAAGAAGGAGGAACAGACCACAGAAACAAGAGAAACTCAAACTGACGCTTTTAGACAGTACACACCTTCCACCTGTTTCACACAGCGAAGTGCATACTTCAGGGTGTTCAGCGTGGTCGACTTGTTATTGTGTCTCTTGTCAGCAGGCAGGTGACGCTTCAGCTCTTTCAGAGTTTTAATCACCTCCTTCTGCGTCTTGGCTTTGGCAGACTCCTCGCTACTGCAAGTTGCACACATACACGCACAGCGGCAAGTCAGACAAGGAAAACAGTCCCTCAGAAAGCGATTAAATAACAGGCACAATAGCTGGTTGTGTTATTATGTAAGGTGTTCTTGTGGCCCAAAGAGTGAGAATGTCCTGTGAAGTGACAAGAAGCTTCTTTGGTTATACAGCAACAGGTGGTGCATTTACCTGCAGCCGCTGGTTGAAGGGTTGTCCTGCTCAGAGCTCAGCAGGCTGAAGGCGTTTGAACTGCTCGGTGGAGATGGACTATGGGAGTTCGAACTGTGTGGGAAAAGAGGACAGGAACAGTTTAGTTTAACACTGCAAATGAAAGTCGACATCATCTTTATTATTAGAGTGCTGGTGTATATGCTTTGCGTGCAAGGTAATAGGTTAAAGTGATCGCTTTGTATTGTAAAGGTGGGCCAAACCAACTCATAATTAAATAATTAAACAACAGGAAACTAATTGTAAAAGAGGTGACTTTCTGTGCACATGTTTTATATTTTATATGCACTTCTTGTCAGGGCTCTGTGGGCGGGCAGGTGGAGATGTGGATCCAAGTGCAGGACTCGGAAATGGAAATGTAACTGAAAACCACAGCTTTATTGCTGGCATCAAACAAAACATAAAGTGAACACTGAGACCAAAAACACACAGGCATAACGCAAGGATACGACGCAACACTGAGCACAGGAAAACACAGGGCTAATATACACAGGGTGGTAATCAGGGAATGGGCAACAGGAGGGAGACACAGCTGGGAGAGATTGGACTAACGAGACAGGGGAGCAGTAGAACTGAACACACGAGACACAGACCTTCACAATAAAACAGGAAACAAGAAACCACTAAACAAAGACGCAGACAGAGAGGCAGGGGTTCTGGGTCAAACTGACCCAGAACCGTGACACTTCTAGAGTGATTACATCACCTAAAAGAATACTGGATATCTAATAATAAAAGAATAAGTACTCTATACTCAAGACTCGCAGCATGGGGTGCAAGTTACCTAACATAATGACATGTAACTCTTATAATAAAGGAACAAGTATACTCAAACTCACAACAGGGTTTTTATAATTGAGCTAAAGAAAGCTGCTGTTTTCTGCCTTTGTGAATCAGTGATCGGTGTCCCAGCAGCAGCTTCAAAATAGCTGGGTTACAAAAGAAGCTCTCTTCAACTGTAAGTATAGTTAAGGTTAGTTTTCCCTCTGTGGTGACCTTACATAAATCTGCAGTGGGAGTGCAGCAAAGGGCTTTGGGTCTTTACATTTCTATATGTATTTTAGTCATTGTTCATGTGGCATCCAACTTTGAACTTAAAATATTTTACTCCTGTAGTTTATTAGATCAATCTGTCTCATTTGGTTAGGCCAGTTTGTTAAATGCTATTTCTGATTAGAGTTCTGTTTTGTTGACCTTTTAATGGGCCCATTTATTTCTTAAAGAGAGTCTGTTTGAATTATTAGGTATTTTTTGTATTATTTGTGTCTGATTTTTTTACTCATGGTTTCCTTGGTGATGAATTTTCTGTTAGCTCTTGAGTTTCTATTGTGACTTTGTTATTCCTGCCTTAGCATGAGTTCATGTGTTTAGTAGTTATCCTTTGGGTTCATTCCCATTTTGCTCTGACAGTTGGTCATTTCCTGTGCCCACTTTTATTTTTTACTTCCCACCTTATCTCATTGTCTTGATTTCATTCAGCTGCGTCTTGTTGCCCTCCTGTTTCCACTTCCCCGATTACCTCGTTATGCATAAATAGTCATGCCTTCCTCTCAGTCTCTGGCTCAACATCTGTTATGCTTCTCAGTGTGCGGTCCCGTGCATAATTCTGTGATTACTCTGGATAAAACTGTGTGCTTTTTTTCCTCGGTCCGTCTTCTGTATCTTGTGTTAGAGCCCTAATTCTGCACAACCTGATGTCAACTGATGCATCTATACTGTACATGTATGACCCAAGGTGTTAACCTACAAGCTTAACACT